GAGATGGGTATCCAGTTGAAAGCCAGGACTTAGATATACTATTAGTGCACCTGATGCAATTATGAGTTAAATTATACTACGGATCTTGTGGAAAAAAACTGAAGTTTTGTCACTCTCTTGTTCCATGCAGCCTTTCTTGAGGCATCTACAAAGAGACAGCTTTTTCAGATTTCTGTTAAACAGTTGCTATCACATTAGTCAAGTATTGTTTCTATCTTGAGTTTAATACATTGCGATTTAAATGTGGATTTAATCAGTGTGTATTCATTTATTTGGACTTTATGATGCTAGTAGTTTTAGATGGGCGCTAGGGGGTTGGGGGTGGAGGGCAGGTTGCTGCTCCACAGAACAACACGTCTTGTAAAACTGGTCCTGGCCTAAGTTTACCTTTGTGAAAAGTATACCTATGTTGCCCTGGTGGGAAATAAAATGTGACCACATCCTTCTTAAAGTTGAGTCCCTGTGAGTGGTCACTGAAACACCTTCATTATGTAATATCCAGTGAATGGATTGTTATTAAAGCAGGCAAGTGAGCATTAAAAATTCCGTGTTAACATAGGAAGTATGATGTTAATTTAATAGTTGATGTGGTGAAGGCTGTAACTGTTTGGTCAAAGATATGTTAAAAAGTGATCTTGAAGTTCTGTGGGGGAGTTCGTATCGTGTCCATAGCTTTTGATTGATACTGTGTCCAGAAGGTCTTGGAAATGCCTCCCAGCCTACACAGTGGTACACAAAATAGAGGATATTTCCTCCATTTATGAAGCCCTCATTTGTGTTCACAGATTACCTTTCTTGATTAATTGGCGACTGGTAATAGGCAGTAAATATAAACTATACCAAAACAAAAATAGGTGGGAGTTCTCCACGTTATATTTCCTTCCAAATTATTCAGTTTTAATTTAATAAATTTTCAGTAGAGGTAATTCTGGCACAGGATACTTTTCCTAAAAATGTCTCTTGGGAAGCAATTTTATAATGCACATGTTGATATTCCAGAATACAAAAGAAGGAGAAACAGATAATGAAAAAATAATGGAATGTTTCTAATTTGTTTCCTGATTTTAAAATGTAAAGATAATTAATATACCAATATATGTATATTCCACCATATAATGTATTTTTGATTTGATCCCCTATTTAAAAGTTAAAAAGTGTTTACATTTTGGAGTACAATGATTTAAAAAGCAAAGAAAAGGAAGTGAGATATTTACATAAATGAAGATCTAATAGTACTTTGAAGTTATTTCTCTGCTGAAATAAATGACATTATCCCATTAAAAATGGAAAGAGAAGTGCTGACCAAAAGACTGAATGCACGTTAGAGGCTGATTTTTTCACTGGAAATACAGGAGATCCTGGGAGTCCTGCCGGCTTTGTTTTTGAGGTTCAGTAGAGCTTTGAACTGAAGCCAAGAGTGTTTACGTGGACATGATAAACTGCAGTGCCTGCGTGTCTCCATTCTGCGCTGCCAGGGTTTGAGTCCTGGTCCCTCTGCTTATTATCCATGGGACCATGGGCAAGTTGCTTGATTTCTTTCTACCTCAGTTTTCCCACTAAAAATGGGAACAGTAATAACACCTACCCCATAAGGTTGCTGTGAGGATGAAGTGGGTTCACACTTGTAAAATATTTAGAACAGTGCCTGGCACATAGCCTGTGCTTTTTGTTTTAGCTTTGTTATTACCGTAGTAAATACCACATGTTGTTTTTACCTTCGCTCAAACAGCGGACATTATGCTTGCCTACCTGCTAAGTTTGGTTAAAGGAAAAGTTAAAGTGAAAACTAAGGTTGTAGTAAGAAAAGCAAAAAAAAAAAAAAAAAATTCCCAAAACCACTATTCCCCCTCATCCCAGTGCAGTTTCCAAGGTGGGATACAAGAATTTTGATGCGCGAAAGTGTTTCATATGGTTTTGATTCTTGAAATTACCACCTCCGCGGCATGTCAGATTGCTGAGTAAATGTAAATAAAAAATTAAACTTCCCCAGGGGCCAGCCCAGTGGCTCAGTGGTTAAGTGCGCACGTTCCCATTGGGCGGCCTGGGGTTTACCGGTTTGTATCCTGGGTGTGGACGTGGCACCACTTGGCAAGCCATGCTGTGGTAGGCGTCCCACATGTAAAGTAGAGGAAGATGGGCACAGATGTTAGCTCAGGGCCAGTCTTCCTCAGCAAAAAGAGGAGGACTGACAGCAGCTGTTAGCTCAGGGCTAATCTTCCTCAAAAAAAACTGCTCCAAGTTGCATATATGCACTGACCTTTGAAACCTTCTCTGCGCCCTGACTTCTGAATGCGTATCTTCTCTGATTAAGTGAAGCAGAGCAGCTTTTGCCTTATCTCAGACACCAAACTGCTCTCCAGGCTGTCGTTTTCTACTGTAAGATGAAGGGCCAATGCTTTGTTGTTTTAAGTTCTTCCTTTCAGTATATTATCATCTTATATTTTGACTGCTAATTTTTGGCTTATTACTGGCCATGAAATTCCAGACATAGGAGGAAAATGTGTCATTTGGCCATTTATTTAAATTATAGGATTAAAAATTTTAGATGTTATGAAGTTTTCAAATGTGTAGTAGTGGGCTAACATAAGGGTACTTTGTGCACCGTTTTACACCATATTCCCTCCCAAAAGCTTATATTTTACAAGCAATAATGAAACGGGTATGGGTACTTCTCAGTTTTATTTTTAGTATTATGTAAACACTTGGTATATCATTAACAGTGAACTGGAAGGTGAGTGGTAAGTTTTATTCCAGAATTAAAATAGAAAAGTTTCAGAATCCTTTGGTTTGGTTTATTCTCGTGTTGTTTGTTAAAGCTACTAATAAAAGTCTAGAGAAGCTAATATTTCTTGAACACTTACCCCGTGAGGCACTGAAATAGGTACTTTTACATGAGCGTTTCATTCAGCTTTCTAGGCTTAAGTTATAAATTAGATGCCCTTATGTAGAAAAGGAACAACACTTATTTGGGAAAAAGATGCCTTATGTTTGTTAACAGTATTGTCATTGTCGATACCTGCCAGTGCCGTCAACACCTCCATCTGTGCTTGTGGGAAACAGAGCTATTAGAACTTTTTGCCAGAAAAACTTAAAAGTCGTGATGGCCAACAAAGGGTTTTAAGAAGGTAGATCTTTTGTTTATTCCTAACGTAGTAGCCTAGCCAGTGTTATTTGTTGTCCATTTTACTTAGCCTTCTGAGTTAATATTTCCTATGGCTTTATAATATTAATTTATTCAATGGATGTTTGTTGAGTGCTTACTATTATTTCCCAGTTACTATACAAGGAGCTGCTAATACAGTCTTGAACTGGGTGGTTAGCAAATAACTGCCAGTGAGATGTGTTACAAAAATGAAGATACAGGTACTTCAAGAGTGTTTATTAGGATATGACTGTTATTTATAGAACATTTGAATCATGGTTTCTAAAGCAGAAATACCTGAGTTAGTGCTTTCCAAAACAGAAGTAAAGGTGAACATGTTTATTCAGTATTGCAGAGATTTTGAACCGTGGACACATATTAGGTTTATAATTTTCTCCAGGATGCATAACAAAGGGGGTTTGACTATGTTGAGATGTGTGTATCAGCTACTTTCTGAAGTATTGTGATACATCATGACACCTGCTGTCTGTGCAGCAGCTCAAACGTATGTCTTTTTCTTAACCTTAATTTAGCTGATCTAGAAGTACTATTTCCAGAAAGATAGATCAAGATTAGAAATAACTGAATTACCTCATAACTGTGAGTATGGATGCATAAAGTAAAGACAAATATGAGAGGCAAGTGCTGAGTTGCTCTTCTGACTGTTGATTGCTTCAGCACCACCGAGTTCCTCTGAGTATCTGAGTGGGGTTGTGGCTTTTCAGGCTGAGTTTCATTTCTGCCCTAAGTACTGACACTTTTTGACGCCATCAGAAATCCTGTACCTTCCCTTGGTGGCATCACCACCTGTAATATTGGTATCTTCATCACTCTCCCAGGAAAGCTGAGAGACTTTAAAACTTGAAAAAGTAAAACATTCCCACCGCTAACGGCAACAGTTATTGCATGGTGTTCCAGCTGCTAACATGATTGGTCTCAAAAGTAAGTTTGAGTCATAATGACCTTTTATTGCAGACAGGCCTAGCGTAACTTAGAGCGCTCTTTCCTAGGAAATGAACTTCTTAGAGCAGCCCAGCATTTATGCATGCTTGTTTCACAAAGCACTAATATAGAAAAATGTGACACCCCACCCTCCACTTCTCAAAAGTTGGGGAAGGGAATTCTGGGGTCAAATAATTTAAATAAGTTAGGGAGTTTCTGTGCTATTTCCCCCTTGGAGAGTCACAATGCATGCCAGTGTATTACAGTCTCTAAGAAGTCCTGCTATAAAGAAACAGGTTTAATATTTTTTAATTTAACTTATCCAATCTTATTTGGCTGCAGTTTTTTTCCTTAATATGTCACCTAAAAATAATCCTAACGTTGACCATTCTGCCTTTATTCAGGTAACTTTCTGTCTTGATCCAGCTATGGGTAGTTGAAAATTCAGAGACAGATCTTAATTGCCTTAAGTTATAGGCAATTAGAAGCTATCTTTATAAGCCTATCCTATAAGAGCGATAAGAAAAGCCATTTAGGAGCCTGATGTAATACTTACGTTGTTTAGAATATACTATTAATTTTAGTCTTTTAGCAAAGCATGAATTCATTACTTAAGCATCCTTTGCTCCTCTGTATACGTACTTCTGTTCCTCTGATTAGAACTTGGAATGGTTGGCTACTATGGGATGAGTAGAAACAGGCGAGCTTCTCATAACTGGGCTGTGGCTGGGCTGCGTTTTTCCCAGGATGTGGTGGCCTGGGTGACCAGTGTGCCTAGTGACGCATCGCTCCATGTTGCCTGTGGCTTGCGCTTGCCCATGGTGGAACTTACGAATGGCTTGTGCTACCGTATCATTGTGAAAAACCATGTTGTGCAGTTCTCCTTACAAGTTATATATTTATTTGCTTTCTACAGTGATGGAGAGGGGAGGAAAAGGACCTCGTCTACGTGCAGCAATGAGTCCCTAAACGTTGGAGGAACCCCCGTCACTCCTCGCCGAATCTCCTGGCGGCAGCGCATTTTCCTCAGGGTTGCCTCTCCCATGAACAAATCTCCCTCGGCAATGCAGCAGCAGGGTCTGTGCGGCACCCACTAAAGAGTTACTCCTTACTAGGCTCATAAATTAGGGAATGCAAGGCAATGCTTTGTGTACAAAGACATTGAAGTGATTCCAGTGGAGAAACAACTTATCTTTCTGTGTCTAATATAGCGGCTAGACATTCAGTAAATGCTTGTTGAATGAATGAATGAATGAATGAATGAGTGAGTTTCCAAAACCGGGAACTATGATAGTGCTAGAAAAGTCAAAGATCTTATTATTATTAGAAAAGCAACATACTCCTTAATGAGAGTCACACATAACCAAAGTGACATAGAAATGTAGAGCAATAAAGAAATGAATACAGATACACTAGGCAAATATCAACCAAAAGAGAGCTTGGGCAGCTCTGTTTCCATATGAGACCTCTTAGAAATTAAAGCAAAAATATCCAAAGGGGCAAAGTAAACGTAACAAAAAGATATAACAGTGATGAGAACACATAATTATATAGCCTTGAGAGCTAGAAAATAACACTTAACAGAATTTTGGGGAGAAAGAAAGAAATCAATAGCTCTCGTGGGAGATTTTAACATATTCCTCTCTGAGAATTGAATATAGAGAAATTAAATATAGATAATGTTTAAGAAACACAATTAAACAAACTTGATCTAATATTTATACAGACACTTGCCCCCTATAGAGAAAATTCATTCATTTTCAGCACACATGGAACAGTCATAAAAATTAATTATGTGCTTAGCTACAAAGATTTTTCAATAAATTCCAGACAATCATGATTATTCATGCTCTATTCTCTGATGACAGTGAAAAGAAAGGAAGAAAGGAAGTATTCAACTTATGTATACTAAGTATTCAACTCAAGAAGGTGGAAAAAGAACCAGAGAGTAAAATATTTTAAAAATTATTTATTTATTAAGGGTAAGGGCAGAGGTCCATTAATAAAGAAAAAAACCTAAGAAAACAACAGATGTTACTAGAGATAAAATTAGCTTTGCTTAGGGTGGTCAGAGAAAATTTACAGAGAAGTTAGATATTTATTTAAACTCACTGCTGGGAGAAGCATGTTTCAGAAAGAGGGTCTAGCAAAGCTCTAGAGTCATTGGAGAGAACTTTTCGGGTCAGAGAATCATGAGAAATTCAGCATGATGGGAGCAGAGGATGGGAGATGGACACAAAGGAAGGTTACTTGAGGCCAGAGTCTGAAGAGAGCTCTATGCTATTCCCAGTAGGTTGCTGTTCTTTGGGATATAAGCAACCATTGAGATGTTTTAAAGACATGAGCGTGTGTTAATGGGAAAACAATTGGCAACAGCACAAAAGATGGCCTGGAACAGAGGGAGAGAATGAGCTCCAGGAATTGGGTAAGAGTGTTGCAGGAGGAGTGAGCAGAGGTGCTAAGCCAAGACTTGCGCAGAGCTGCTCAGCTGCTTTCCTTTTGATGGATTCTGATGGTGGACCTAGACCTTAGAGGATCACTAGTACCTACTCACATAATCTTCTTCTTTTGCACAATTAGGGAATACACATAGATAAATTGCAGAAGTGTTGAACTCTGGGGAAAAGCCTGTTTGTTTTGGAGCACCTATCTTATAGGTCATTTTGTACAGAAAGAAGAAGTGGTGAAATTACATATGATTTCATTTCACTACAAGAGGGAATCTGGAAGGGGAATTCAGTCTAGTGAATTTGCTTAAGTCGCTAGTTCCAGAAACTAACAGTTACTGGGAGAGTGGCGTTGTGAAAAGCTTTAAAGGTGGAATATAGGATGAGAGGGCGTCAGTTCTAGAGGAGACTTCTGTAGTCTGGGTTACTGCTTAGGAATGCCTCTCACTGTTTTCCTCTCTGCAGATGGACTGGACAGGAATGAGCTGCTGCCACTGTCCCCTCTTGCTCCAACCATGGAGGAGGAACCGCTGGTTATATTCATGTCTGACGAAGATGACCCCGAAAAGGTTGAAGAAAGAAACAAGTCAGAAGAACTGAGGAGTTTGTGGAGAAAAGCAATACACCAACAAATCTTGTTGCTTCGGATGGAAAAAGAAAACCAGAAACTTGAAGGTTAGCTGTTCACACGGGGCTACGTGATCTGATACTATAATTTAAGGATGTGGGCTAAAACTAGCCCCCCCAACATCATTCTCAGACTGTCTACTTTTTACTTTTACTCGAATATCTACTGATAATAGTTGTTTATTTCTATTTTGTGAGGTGTTTATGACATGAGAAAGGTCAGCTTAAGATATTTACGTTTTTGTCTAAAAGATTTAAAACATCAGATTCCCTTAAAATCTATTTGGGTAATAGAGAATGTAGATAATATGGAGTCAACATATTTGATACAACTGTAAGTTTAATATCATTATGCGATCCTTTAAAAAAATGCTAAACATGAAAAAGCAAATTCTCTTCTTTTTGAATATGATTTTCAATTAGTTCAGGCTAATTGTATTCATAATAGGAGAAATACGTCTATTTCAAATAAATTTTTGTGTTGTATTCGACTATCTAATTACCTGTTATCAGATCAAAGTGTTTATTTTTTGTTGTTGCTTTATAAATTTTCTCTTTAAAAAATCATATTCAAATCATAAAATTTATAATTGGATAGTTTATAGTAGTTGTGCTATTTGTGGTACTTTCTTGCTAAGTTTATGAATACCAAATGCTTTATTTGAAATAATGATGTTATTTACCCCAGTATGGATAGAATCACACACAGGGAGATGCACAGACAGTCCCAAAGTCCAAAAAATGTATTTGTGCAATTATCTTGGGACAATCCCTTAACATAAAAGGGCTTGTGTTTGACATTTGTAAAATGAAAGACTTAGCTTAAGTGGGCCCTTTGATTTTTAAGATTATTGGAAAATGTGTAATCTAGGTTTGTCTCTGACTTGATTTTTATTGTGTTGTCTTCCAAAAAGGTTTTTTGGTACAGGTATTCACCTTTCTGTGTTCATCATCTATCTTAAGATTCCTCTTACTCTACCTATTATTCAATTCATTTTGAATTTTAACAATATTTATTTATTTTGCAAGGGCACAGTTTATTTTCTTAGCAGAATGAAAACTACATAAGATTTTAAATATCCCTAGGGAAAAAAATCTTTTTTTCTTTAAAATTAAAAATGCAATTAATTTTTAGTGATACTGCTGTTAAAAGTTCAGTGTGATTACTGGTGTGCCACTCGAGCTTCCCTAGATTTTGAAAGGAATTGAATTCATATTTTTATGCAGTTGATTACATCTCGAACTAACTCATAAAAAGAAAAAGAAGTTGATAAAAGGATGGTTATCATTCCCCTAAAATATTTAAAGCATGAAATTATATTCCGTTAGCAGTTGGGAGTATGTACAGTAGAATATTATAAGTGTTAATATGTAGTTTTAGAAACAGACTGTTTGAACTGGAAATGGCCTTAGAGATTATTTAACTCCATTCTTTATTCTGCAGCTGACTTAGTGACTGGCTTGGGGAGTCTGAGTAATTAACCTAAGGTCAAACAGTGATGTACTGACAGAATAAGTACTAACACTCAGGTTTGTTTATCGTAGTTCTTGGGTTTTTCCCAGTACACCACAGTATTTCTCTACTATGTGTGTTCATATAAGGAAATGAAATGTTTTAATACAAGTGACTCTGTGCATTCTGAGGTCAGTTATCCTGTATGAATTGACAGGGTAAGAAAGAAGGTGACATAGAATATGTGGTCAGAAAACTGTATCAATCCTATATTTATTTCTGTACTTAAGTAACAAAGACAAAAAATGACTTAGCCCATTAAAATTCTAGCCAATGGTAGGAATTCTTGATGGTTCCTTACTCTTGCCTAGTTAACTAGTTGAAGGCAGATATTAACTTACTCAGCATTTATCTTCAGGGCCTGTGACTGGCACATGGTAGGCACTTATTATTTTAAATGAGTAATGATCTAGAGAAGATTGGAGAAAAAAAAACTGAGGAAATATTATGCTTTGTCCATTGTGAAAAAATCATTAGTAAAGTTACCTATAGGATTGTATTTATTAGCTTTAAAGGACCCACTTCTTAAAAAATTGATTATCATAGAGAAATATAAAACAAATATTGAGAAGCAAAGCTAAACTGTGTTAGAAAGCCATCTAGTGGTATTTTTGTAGTGCCATTTATCTTTTGATTATGTCTGGACTTTTAAGTAGGAATTTTTACTGCCCTGCTCGTATAGCAGTCCATTATAAGATATTTAAATTCTTTTGAACCGGTCTCAAACACACTAAGTAAGAGTAATACTCCTGCTGTTGTTTTTGTGCTGTCGAGGACTTTGGATGCATGACAAAGATTTGTGTTACAGAAGGTAAGGTGGTCGAGCGCTGAGAGCTTGAATGAAAACAGGTTATTCTCAGACATTCCTGTTCAACGTGATCCTAATGAAAGAGAAAAATTAGACCTACGTATTTTTTCTTCCTTCTCCCTTTTGGAATCAATTATTCAAGATAAAGACCAAGTCAAGATAGTGTTTGCTTTTATAGACATTTCTTTTAATGAGCCCTGGGCTTATATTTTAGACCATCAAATGAGAGAGAACTCTGTACCATTTAAAAAATGCAAGTAGTGTTAACTTCAGTAAAATGAGTTTTCCTCTTTAAGACTATGAAAAATGAACACAGGAACACATAAATTAGTGTTGTTAAGGGCAGTGTTGATAACTCTGGAAATAATTATAAAAATGTACCAGGTTGTCATAGTCAAATATTTCTCAGGTCAAGGTTAGCATGAGGCATTGTTTTCTCATATCTGTGATATGTAAAATATTAACATTTTAATGGTGTTTGAAATGATGCAAGCTGTCACTTCTGAGGGTATCTATCACATTTGTCAAAAAATTGAAATTTATAGCATAGAAAACATGCTTTATTTTTTATGTTTAGCAGAGTTACCATCTGTAAGATACAGAGCAAAACCTTCTTAGGAAGTTATTTCTGATATTTTCTTACATAAAATGACTCAAAGTTTGAAAGTCTTTCATATATCCTCAATTTTTTTTAAGTTTTCTTTTTGAGAAAATGTTAGTGGTTGAAGGTCTGGCCCTGTGGCCAAGTGATTAAATTCCACTCTCCACTTCAGCGGCCCAGATTTGCAGATTTGGATCCTGGTCGCAGAGCTGCTGCATGCATCAGCTGTGCTGTGGAGCCATCCCACACAGAAAACAGAGGAAGATTGGCACCGATGTTAGCTCAGGGCTAGTCTTTCTCAAGCAATAAAAGAGGAAGATTGGCAATGGATATTAGCTCAGGGCAAATCTTCCTCACCAAAAAAAAGAAAGAAATAAAATCAGTCTTACATAAATTCTCTTGTTTTTCTTAGCAAGCAGAGATGAACTCCAGTCCCGAAAAGTTAAATTGGACTACGAAGAAGTTGGTGTATGTCAGAAGGAGGTCTTAATAACCTGGGATAAGAAGTTGTTGAACTGCAGATCTAAAATCAGATGTGATATAGAAGATATTCATACTTCTCTTAAAGAAGGTATTCTGGATTATCTCAGTAATCTTTGTTTTAGAAAAGCTTCCGAGATTCTTTGGTTTGTGCAGCTCAGACATAATTTTGCCTTTGTGCTTTGCTGATAAAAAACGTAATTTGTTTCTGCCTGCTGTTAGTGACTCAAGTGGTAAGAAAATGGTACTAATGGAGAGACTGTCCCTGAGGAGACAGCAGACACCTTTTCTGCAGCCTTTCCTTCCTCCTTCAACCAGCTGTTCTCCGGTCTGTGGTGTTGTTTACCAACAGATGAGCATGTGCATTGAGGCAGATTTTAATCATGTCCAGAAAAGTAATGCAACCTTACAAACTTGACCCATGTCCATCGTTTGGTCAGAAGTGTGTATTTACATTTATGTGTACATTTGTGTGTACATGTGTATTCATCTACGTGTACGTGTTACAGATTTATATTCTTGTCAATCGCTTTTCCTTCTATCCATTTATTCCTTTATTTAGTTTGGAAAATTGCCATTATAAAATTGGAAATTTAGCCATTATACTGCATTGCTGCTGTGCCATATAAAATGACCGATATTTAAACATCTCAAATTTAAAGTTAAAACTAGTAATGTGGAGATTTTAGATGCAATTTCTGTGACCCAGATTAAATGTATTAAAATGAGAATCTCCATGGCTTGTATAAACTGGGTGTAAAATAACATTTCAAAAATACCCAAAGAAACCTGATAATGAATCTTGTTTTAAAAGCTTGTGATAATGTGTGAAACTGTTGCATAGTGAAGTTTAAGTTGATTAATTTTGTAAGATGCTACATTTATTAGCCTAATATATTGTTCTTTTTCCTTGAAGATATAGAAATTCTAAAGATTTTCATTGAATGAATTATTTAGGAGACAAAATAGTGGTTAATAGGATGAGTGTGAGATATGGACCACACCATTCTTTGGTATGTTTTTCTTGCCCCACCGCTGCACACCTAGCACCTAAGACAGCTTTTGCCCAAGTGACTTACTGAATGAATAAATGACTGAATGAATGAGTGAATGAGACCAGTTTTCCTGAGAGTGGGTTTATTCATCTCTCAGTGATGAGGTATCCTCAGTGCCATGCTCTCTACTCTGCTACATTAGTAGATGCTCAACAAATGTTTAACTAAAGTGAAATAGCTTTTTATAAAATTATTTTTAGATGGATAATAAAACAGCCCACTCATGTTGTCAGGATTCATTTAACGGGCTGACGAATGTTACCATCTAAAAATGATTTTACATGTTATGGTTCATTCATTCATTCAAATGTTTAAGTAGCAAGGCATATTTTGGATTTCATCATACACAGGTTAAAGTATGCTTACTGTTCTCAAGGAGCTCACCATCTAAGTGGGGAAAATAGATGAACATACAGTATGAAGCTAACTGTAATCCAGTATGGTAATGTTAGAGTGTGAGTCTAATAGTATGTGAAAAGGGAAGGATTACTCATAGAGATGTTAGGGAGAGCTTCAGCAGAAGAATGGCATTCAGGTTCATCCGTAAAAGACAAATAGAAATACACTAGACAATCAAACGGGGGAGCTTACAATTCCATAAAGGCAACAGTAGGAATAAGAAACTGGAGGTGTGAAAATAACCATAAGCTTCTTATACTTAGTGTATGGCGGGGGATGGTAGGTAATGGCACTGAAAAAGGTAGTTTGGAGGTATATCGTGGAGGGCCGTATAAAACATGTCAGTGAGCCTGAGTTATACATTTTGGGCAACGATGCTTTCAGCTTATGCAAACTGTGGCATTGCATTGCAAACAGATTAGTGCCATTAAACCTTCCTTGAACCAGCTGGAGCCTGGGAATCTATTCCAGATCCAGTCTATCTGAACTGAAAATACTTCGTGAAATAAAATTGCCTGCGCTGTGCAGAATCAAATTCTGTCCCTCCCACTGCTTTACTTCATATTCTTTGGCATAAAAAAATGCAAGTTTTATCATAGTTTGAACCGCTTGTGATATACCCTTTGCTTATCAAGCATAATGGAGCTAATGTTTCATTATATAGTCACGCGTTGCTTAACAGCAGGGATATGTTCTGAGAAAGGCATCATTAGGCATTTTTTTTGTTGTGGAAACATCACGGAGTGTACTTACACAAACCTGGATGGCACAGACTAATACACACCTAGACTATATGGTACTACTATAATGGGACTCCTGTCATATATGTGGTCTGTTGTTGACTGAAACTTTGTTATGTGGGGCATGACTGTGTATGCTAGACATGTTTTTCTCAAAGGCTGAATGATGTTCTGGAGCATTCCAGTTATGCTTTCATATTGTATTTACCATTTTTATTCTTTTCATTCTTTTATGACCAAATAAGAATGCTATTTAATTCTCTTTTACAAAGTTACTTGTTGATGACAAATACCTTAGAAATTATCCTATGGAGATGAGCATTTGTTACTAGCTTCAAACCAAATAAAAGGTGAAAATAGGCAGTAATACATGTCAGGATTTCAGGATTTGGCCTCTGAAACCAGACTTCCAGAGTTCTAATGCTAAACTGCCGCTTACTAGCTGTGTGAACTTGGGCAAGTTACTTAGCCTCTTTCTGCCTCAGCTTTGCCATCTGCAAGTGGGGAATCATAGTAATTAGCTATCCCATTGGGTTGTCTTCTGAGTACATGTGAATGGTGTAGGTGCAGTTTCTGTAGTTACAATGCTCAGTAGCTAGGCCCCCTCAATGAATGTTGTATTGGGTGCTCACTCACTGTTGGCTGATGTTGTTAATATTGCCATTACTATCATTGTTACCTGAGGGTTTTCTTTTGCAAGACATCGGCAACTACAGGATTAAATTTGTCAAAATATGCTTCTATCAGTACAGCATACAGTGTGATTACAAGGTGGCATGCAAGACAGCACAGCTGCCTGTTTTCCAGTCGTGTCACATAGCTAATCAACTGTGATCTAGCAACTTCATTCCAGTATTCAAGACCTTGCTTTTTTATCTCTTTGATTGTAGGTGTTCCCAAAAGTCGACGAGGGGAAATTTGGCAGTTCCTAGCTTTACAGTATCGTCTAAGACACAGATTGCCTAATAAACAACAACCTCCTGACATATCCTATAAAGAGCTTTTAAAGCAGCTCACTGCTCAGCAGCATGCTATTCTCGTGGATTTAGGTATGCCTGTCATATTGATGCTAATTTACAAAGGTAAACAATAGGTGCTTTTGTGGAGTTTTTTGGGTTTTGTCCTTCGGTTTTTGGTGGAGATAAAGAGTAAGTATTCCTGGACATATTGCTAAAAACAAGCCTTTAAATACCACTTTAAAAAGCAATATACTAAGTGGTTATGTTATAGAAATTGTGAATGCATCCCTATAGGATGAAAGACAAATTAGCTGTCCTAATGGTAAATGAATGGGCACTTGTGACCTGGGAGAGAATTTCCAGGGACAGCATTATAAAGCTATGTGTTTTTTTTTTTAAAGATTGGCACCTGAGCTAACAACAGTTGCCAATCTTTTTTTTTTTTTCCCTGCTTTTTCTCCCAAAATCTCCCCAGCACATAGTTGTATACTTTAGTTGTGGGTCCTTCTAGTTGTGATATGTAGGACGCCGCCTCAATGTGGTCTGATGAGTGGCACCATGTCCACGCCCAGGATCCCAACCGGCAAAACCCTGGGCCACCGAAGCAGAGCACAAGAACTTAACCACTCGGCCATGGGGCCGGCCCCTAAAGCTATGTTTTTAAATGCTGAATTTCAAATAACTTATGGAAAGTAAAAATGGTATGATTGAAAAAAATATATTATCTCTGATTTTTCTCTACATTAACATATTATAATATGTATTTTATTATTTTAAAATATCTAAATTGTTGGATTAAATATTGTACATTGACATATGACTATTTTGTCTGTACCTCTAAAAGCTGATGTATTTAAAATGGCCAGAAATGTTACTTGAGCCCATTTGGGAAAACAAAGGGAGTACCTTATATTTGAGGTCACCTTATATTACAACATATAAAAAAAAATCACTGGCCAAAACTTAGTTTTGAACTCTGTTTCTTTTAGATGACAAAAAACTGTTTTGGGGAAAGGGCCCAATTCTGTTAATATTTTTCGATACCAATAGAATTGAAAATGGAAATTTTACAGAGAAACTGAAAACTTTCGTTGTCATCCTGCTTCTACCACTGAACTGTGGTTTTAGGCAAATTACTTTGCTTCTCAGTCGCAATCCTTTCTCTTAAATGAGGCCATTGAACGAGGCAGTCCCTATGGACCCCTGCAGATCTGTGGTTCTGTGACCAGAAATTGCTGATGAGATTAGAAATTGGGATGGTGCATTTAGGGCTAGTCAAGATGTCCTAATAAAGAGAAGATGATGATGGGATCAGATTACAGGGAAAGGCTGGTCAGAAAAGAAATGGAGCTAGAATTAATGTCTTGGATAGACAGTATAAATTATAGCATAGTATATAGCAAAAATTTTAAGTGAGAAAGTAGAAGGATTTTAAAAATTGTTTATTTGATTCTACACGTAGCCATCTGTGTTTCCTCAACCTGTTCTTGTTATTTTCTCATATCTTCCCCTTTCTTGCTCTGCAGAATGAATCTTATCAGTTCCTGGGGAAAAAAATCACTTTTAAGCATATGTGGTGGAAAACATTTAAAAGACTGGCCTTTTTACAAGTTCTAACCGACATGAGTAATCATTTCACGAGAAAGCTAACATCCCCCTTCATTTTTGTGGCAAAAGGAAAGTCCCGTAGCAGGATGCACAGCTTTGGTGGTGAAGATGGGTTTGTTTCAGTGTTTAGTGCCAGGGTTTCAGTGATCCAGGACTGACTTTATTTGCTTGCTGAAATGTCTCTGTGGTAATTTTATACCCAGAGGTGAATTTCAGAGGGTAATTTATTTAAAATCGACTTGACCTTTTACTGTCCTTGTCCTTTTTGGATATATTGAAAAAAGAAAAGAGGTTTACATGGCTCATGGAGGTGGTTTAAGAAACAGAGAGGAGGGGGCTGGCCTAGTGGCGCAGTGGTTAAGTTCGCACGTTCGGCTTTGGTGGTTCCGATCCCGGGTGTGGACATGGCACTGCTTGGCAAGCCATGCTGTGGCAGGCGTCCCACATATAAGAGGAAGATGGGCACCGATGTTAGCTCAGGGCCAGTCTTCCTTAGCAAAAAGCGGAGGATTGGCAGCAGTTAGCTCAGGGCTAATCTTCCTCAAAAAAAAAAAAAAAATTAAATAAAAAAAAATTGAAAACCTAAAAAAAAAGAAACAAAGAGGAAAGGACATTTGAAAGAAGTATTTCCTAAATGTTAGACCGAATGTAAAACAAAAAACCCCCAAAAGTCCCTCCAGTGTCGTATTACAAGCAAAGCAGGAATAAGTCTGCTTACAGACTACTAAGATTTCCTTTTGAATAATATACCTCTTGTAGAATTCTGATTTCAGTGGTCTTTATGAGAACTTAGAATTTGCCTTGATTTGTAGTCGGAATAAATTTTATGTTCTCTTCTCTTGGGCTCTCCCCGGCCATGTCCTTGATTCGTTTGTGGAATTTTGTTTTGTTTCTAGAAAGGAGTGCTGGTTAGCATCACATGTTTGCTCCACTATCATATATATGGAGCTGGGGTGGGGGTCTGGCACGTAGGACTTGGGACTTGCTAAAGAGAGGGAGACTCTGTGATGGGTACTTCAAGCAAGTCTCGCTGGTTCGGAAAAGGGTGCTTGTTTATTCCTGGAAATCACTGAAATGCTGTTTCATGCTGGTCTCCAACACATCAGGACATCTCAAAACTATTTCTTTTCTTTTCCCCTGCAGGAAGGACCTTCCCTACTCACCCCTACTTTTCGGCGCAGCTTGGGGCGGGGCAGCTGTCGCTCTTTAACCTCTTGAAAGCCTACTCGTTGCTGGACACAGAAGTGGGTTACTGTCAGGGGATCAGCTTTGTGGCCGGAGTCCTCCTTCTGCACATGAGCGAAGAGCAAGCCTTTGAAATGCTGAAATTCCTCATGTACGACCTGGGCTTCCGCAAGCAGTACAGACCCGACATGATGTCGCTACAGGTGAGGCCCTAGAGCTTCCCGAGGAGCTCCTAAAGCTCTTACCAGAAATCTTAGCGGTGGCCGTCTTCTGAATTACAGCCGAGATAAAGGAATCAGGACCCATCGTCTTGGAACTTGGATAAACGTAGAGGCATGTTTTAGTGTGGGATTTGTGATTTTGTTAAACCTCTAAGAGTGTGACATCCACACGGAGAATAACTTTTCCGTAGTTCGTGAAGTGAGTAAATAAGCAATTCTGGACCGGTGGTGGGTACTCAAGGCTCTGTCCCCTAAGTCTACGAGTTATATGGAGAAAGTATCAAGTCATCTTTATTCCCTTTTCCTCAACTTATCAATTGAAAAGACTCATAGATCTTTTATTTGAAATCTGAAGATATACTGACTTTATTCTTTTACTTCGAGTGCATAAAGACTTGATAGAGACATGCTTCTTCTTGAGCTTACCATGTCTCCCCTCCTTTATCTTACTGTCAGACAGGCCCTGTTAGAGGAAAAAGTGTTTCAAGTCAGTAGTTCTTTTCAGTCTGATTTTCTTAGCATGCTCTGAAGCAGCACAGGTAAGATTTTTTAGTTAAGTAGGGTTTTCACTGCCACTGCTGTCTTCGCCCGATTTCAAACCTCCTGTTTACACGGTTCTCCTCTCTACTTTAAACCTCACTTTCCTCAGTGTATAGGTTTCTAATTAGGAATTTACATTTTATCTGTAGATATAATATCTCAAACAACCACTACCTTGGAATTTAAAGCTTTTAGTGGTAAAAATATAAGGGAAGACTTTAAAGAGAGGAATGTCGGGGCTCTCCTCCTTTGAAATGAGGTAGGCATGATGCCCAGTTAGTCATAATATTATGCTTTAGATAAGAAATAAAATATTTAAAAAATGTTTTAAAAATCTACTCTTTTCTCTGGTTCCCAATGATCAGTTTTGACACTTCATATTTTAGTTGCCAATACGGAGGCAAAAAAGGACTGTGTTTTCACTTGATAAATGTTGTAGTAAACGGTATTTTCTTGAGCGGATGAGTGGAGCAGGAGTGCTCCAGTTTTCTTTACTCTTCAACATGAAATTTTTGCTGGGGAGATAGGGTTTTGCTCTCAATGTTGGGTTTTCAGGTGTGAGTTCACGTGAAGTGTGTTCACCAGGATACATAAATCAAAAATAGTGATTCGGTTCCTAGTCGATGACTATTCGTAGGTCTATAAACATTTCACAAGTCAAATAATGACTATGGAAGCTTTTATTTTTTACTTTATTTCTAAACAGTTTACCAGTATCTTATATCAGATGGGAAGCATTGGTACCCTTGTAAGGAATTAAATAGCTCTGATTTCTAGAAATAACGGTTTAGTAGCTATCGTTAGAATTTCAAAAAGCAGAAAGTACCTAGGAGTACTCTTTGATTTTGGTCCATAAATAGAGAGAGAGATATAGCTATCACATTAGAAATGCAATGGTTTTTCAATTTAAAACTTCCTCATCAATTTGACATTATAAAAATTCATATAAATTGGATTTATATATTAATTTAATATGGCCCAATATTTTATGTCTGTAATTATGAAAATGAAGATGTTTAAAAATCTCGGGTGGCAGCATTATTATAGGCCACAAGGTTGGATACCTGATTCTAGGAGAATAGATCTCTTTGCTCTATAAAGTGACATACAACACTTTCCCACTTTCTAGGGGTAGAAAGATTGTGTTCTTTGTCCAATAGGACTTTCAACAGTGGAAGCAGCAGTGGGCTTGGGATCACTAGGGATTGCTTGATTGGCTTTCAGATTCCCTGTGTCACTGTGTGTGAGCTCGGGCACTGCAGGCTCTCTGTCCATCTGGTATCTGTTACCTTATTTGTAAAGTGAGGCGGTTGAGGTCTCTTTTAATATGAAATATCTTGAAATGTTAAGCGATATATCTGATCAAGGAACTGCCACTCAATCTGTTACTATGTGGGTAAAAGTTTAAGTCAAAGCACAGTTCACAAATTTGCGTATTATTTACTCCTGCTTGATTTTTAGCTATCACAGACCTAAGAGTTTAAAAGTTGCTCTATGGTATCTTTATAATGTTTTCTTTTTTTGAAATACCAATAATCAACTCAGTAGCCAAATGAGGTAATTTTTTCTTTTAATAGTAGATACATTCATAAATGACTGAAACTTTTGCTTTAATCCCCTTTGTAATGAAAAATATGCTGCTGGAATACTTTGGATGTTAGAAATCACATCTTAAGCTTTTGGCTCCATAGCATTCTAAGCCGAGCAGCGTCTTAGCAATGCAGAATGCCTGACAGGTCTAAGCTGGAGCTCCGTCATCAATCAGATGCTGGACTCAACAAAGAGAGACAGGCATTGCTTCTTTTTTTAAAATATATTTCTTTTCTTTTTTTTTTAGGAAGGTTAGCCCTGAACTAATGTCTGCTACCAATCCTCCTCTTTTTTTTTTGCTGAGGAAGATTGGTCCTTGAGCTAACATCTGTGCCCACCTTCCTCTACTTTTTGTATGTGGGATGTCTGTCACAGCATGGCTTGATAAGTGGTGCATAGGTCTACGCCTGGGATCCAAACCAGCGAACCCTGGGCCGCTGAAGTGGAGTGTGCAAGCTTAACTGCTACGCCACTGGGCCAGCCCTAGGCTTTGTTTCTGAACCAAATGTAGTAGGTTCTTTAGAATGGAGGCTTCTCTGGAATTGATCTGAAATAAGAGTGGACCTTCCATGAGAGTCCTGAGCCAGGACAGTTCTGATTAAATTCCAAAAGCAATGCCTTCCTGCATGAGGAAAAATGCCATTTCCATATATATATATGTGATACTAAAACACATGTGACAGAGAAACTTGCTTAATCGTCTTAGATGGACTTTCGTTTCAGTGACTTGCTTTATGATCTCAGTTAAGTGAACTTTAATATCAACTTTAAAATAATAATAAAAATAAAATAATACTACTTTTATTTATTTACTATATATGAATTTATTAAATATTAGAGTAATAGAATGAAAGTTAGTATATTTTATGCACACTCAGATAAATGCGTAATGTTTTATTTTTTTTCTCCAAATTAACTTTAGATTCAGATGTACCAGCTGTCCAGGCTCCTTCATGACTATCACAGAGATCTCTACAATCATCTTGAAGAAAACGAGATCAGCCCCAGTCTTTACGCTGCCCCCTGGTTCCTCACATTGTTTGCCTCTCAGTTTCCATTAGGATTTGTAGCCAGAGTTTTTGGTAAGAGATGCGTATGATCCAGTGGAACAGTGTTATTTATTCCGAGGAATATACTTCTAGCCATATCGTTCCCTGATTGTTTTTCATGTGTTACACAGAATAGCAAATTGCTAGAGGAATTTGATAAATGTACCTGGCTCTATTCTGAGAGTAATTTGAAAACATGTTTTCTTAAATAAAATTGAAATTAAGAGGGAAAGAAGAAGAATTGGGCTCCTGTATTTGAGTAAGCTGTGATAGAGCTATTTTCATTTAAAAATCAGAGTATGCTTTTTTAAAAATCTGAATGAAGGACTTACCGCATATAATTTTCCAGATTTTTATACACATCTTTCCTACCTCTGTTTCTTTGTTTTCCTTCCCCATTGTCCTCTTCAACCTGGATTCAAAACAGAGAGATATGTTCTCTGATTGGGTCAGTGGAAATACCTATAGCAATGTTATTTCTAAGGGCATTTCTTAATCTGACTTTTTGTTGTTAACAGGCTAATTGAAATTCTTGTTTCATTGCTCAAGTGACTTTCCTTTCATGCCAGTGCCGTCGTGGTGCCAATCTCTCAGGCTGGGTGGCTCAGGGAAAAGCACTAAGCACAGGCGGTAGGGCCTGGGGCAAGTTCTTGAGTTCCTATCTTGCTCCATCACAGTGTTAGCCACCAGGAATAAAGAGTGTATGACATGGTTTATGCTCCCTTTGGGGGCACTTAAGTCTGTTCACAAGTCTTTTGTTAGCTTTGTCTGAGTCTATTATTTGAAAAGCAAAAATTTTTTTAAAAACACCTTTTTTTAATTGACTTTTTTATCATAATTTTTTTTATTGCGGTACCATTGGTTTATAACAGTATATAAATTTCAGGTGTACCTCATTATATTTTGAATTCTGTGTAGATTACATCACGTTCACCACCCAAAGTCTAATTACAATCCATCACCACACACAAGTGCCTAATCACCCCTTTCTCTCTCCTCCCTCCCTCTTCCCCTCTGGTAGCCACCACTCCAGTCTCTGTTTCTATGTGTGTGTTTGTCGTTGTTTTTATCTTCTACTTATGAGTGAGATCATATGGTATTTGACTTTCTCCCCGTGACTCATTTCACTTAGCATAATACCCTCAAGGTCCATTCTTCTTAAAAAACAACTCTTTAGTGGAGGTTTGTTCTAATGATGTTGTTTAGGATCTTGATGACCTCAGAAAGGGCTCCCACAATTTTTATGTTCTGCTCTTCTATTTGGTATCCATGGTGAAAGCAGTCAATATTTATAACTCTGTTTTTGCTAAATGTGGGCTTTTTGTCAAATTGTGAGTGTTGGCCCAACTGTAAGTCATCACCAGAATTAGAAAAAAATGAAGTAGAATAGAATACAGTGAAAATATCAGAGTATTACAAATAGTAAGGAAAAATGTTGTTTGGAGAAACTTCGGTTTTGAAGATACGTGTGTTATATGTATATGTACACCAGGTTACAATGTACAATGTCTTTCTTATTGGGGGCTGTGACTAATATATGTGGCTATGTATTATATATATATAAAAGTCAAAATATTTATATAGTTTTTCTTCTCAGAGAATAGTGTGTTAAATCAAAATGATATTTCAGGGCACCTCTCTTTGACTTACCCTTGGAAGCTTGATGTCAGAGTTTATACAAATCTCCCCAGTAACCTGTTTTTTGCTGTGAGAATATCGATGATGCTGTCAGCTTTCCAGTAGCTGCTCAATCCCTTTCTTTGAATTTAGTGAAGAATAGAGACTGTCAGGAAGGGAAAGGATGCATGAACAAGAAGAATGACCATGTTTGAACTGGTTGTTTCACAATTCCCTCTATTTAAAAGACTCCCTGTTGTTTATTATTGGTTATAGAACGACAGATTGAGAGAAACTTTCATGCAAAAGGATTTGGTGCTTTTCAAAACTGTTGCATGTTTGTGTTTGTTAGGAAGCTGAGTTTAAAGTTAGGGTAGCTTTCCTTTTTCTCTTTCACTTCTGATTTAGGTTATATACTGGTTTGGGGATTTGTCTTTTAAAGTTTTTAAAATTTCCTTCTCTAGTAGAGGTTTAATTACATATTAACTGGTTCATCTACTTTTTAATTGTGGTAATGAGAATTTAAATAGTACTAACTGGTTATGTTGATTTGTTTTTGTATTCCCCTTGTGAAGAAAAATCTCAGCATTGCTTGAATAAGTGTCTTTGAGGTTTACCTTGTCTCCATTAAATTTGTGGCTGGAAGTTATAAATAAATACATAGACAAACAGATATATAATTTGTCTTTTTTATTACCCTGGACTTATCTGAGATTCCTGAATAAGTAAAGAGAGTATTCAAACATCTGTTTACTTGTTTCAGTCATAGTAATTTAAAAAAAAATAAACTAGATAGTTTTGACCAATATCTTTTGCAAAATATTCTGTGGTCCTGCTGCTGTGGTTTAAAACAGCAACAGCAAAACCCCACCAAAAAGCCCTTTAGCACAAAGAGTATGCTTACTACAATAGTGGATGCATAATTTTGATCATGAAAATTATATTCTCTTTTTTTAGATATTATATTTCTTCAGGGAACTGAAGTTATATTTAAGGTTGCGCTCAGCCTCCTGAGCAGCCAAGAGACGCTTATAATGGAGTGTGAAAACTTTGAAAATATTGTCGAGTTTCTTAAAAGCACGCTACCTGATATGAATACATCTGAAATGGAAAAAATTATCACCCAGGTATGATTTAAGTGAAGATAACAAGATATAAGATTATACAGCAGTTTCTCTGCTAATTATGTATTAAGTGTCTTGGGATAAAGATCTAGTTTTGCTTGACAGGTATTATTTTTTCAGTTTTTTAAAATTGGATTGATATATTTTATTTAGAAATGAGGCTGTTGTGAAATTTCTACCTTGTGATATCGTCTGTGTGGCTGTGCACAGCAAAAGTGGTCCAGTGCTCCATAATGCGTTTTTCAGGAATCCTTCCAATGTAGACCAATAGTATGATGGAGGATAGAACAGACGGAGTTAGGAAGACCAGAGAATAAAATGAGATCCACTTGCCTTTGTAATGTTGTTAATTCTGTTTTAAAATATACAAAGAGTCCATGTGGCAAGAGCGTAGGCTTTGGAATTAGACAGCATTGTATCTGCATCTTCTAGCTCTTTTATTAGTTGTTTGGCTTGCACACATCACTTTAATCTTCTGAACCCTAGTTTTCTCATATCCAAAGTGGGACAATACTGATCTGAGACGTTTTGCAAGGCTTAAATGAGGAGACTTGATACATCAATCAGAGTCCCTTGCAGTACACAGAGTCCACCTCCAATGATTCAAACAAAGGTACCATTTACAGAGGTGTGGGCAGGGTTAAGGGAACCAAACATGGATGTCCAGGTGCCCAGAAACTAGTAACAGAGGGAAGCTGTTCATACCCATGGTGCTGGAGGGGTGGGGGAAGTTATAACAGTGTTCCCAGGCCCAGTGAGTGCTGGAACTATGGAGGCAGGGTCTCTGGAGGTTATTGTGCTCTTGGTGAGCCAGGCAGGGAAGAAATACCCAACCTCATTCTCCTGCCCCTTCTGATCTCCTTCTGTCTCCTCCCATTGGCCATACCCAACCAGAAGCCAGCAAGAAAGGAAGTGTGGGGAATGCAGGTCACAAGGGTCTGCCTCCCAGAGTACAGCAGAATGGGTGAGGGCAGAGAGTGCATCTGGGGAGCAAATGGAGAGTAACCAATACACCGTGTATCTAGTCTCTGGCTCTTTATAGGGACCAGGTAAGTGGTACTTATATATTCCTGTTGTCCAGATGACATGAATAGGCTTAAGACCAGATCTGTAGACAAAGGAGACAAGCTCTGTGAGTTTTAACAAAACTTACCACTTTCCTAGAGGCACTTGGGATGGCAGATAAAAGACAGAGTTTAGAGCAAGGGAAAGGGAGTTTTGAGATCTTGTTCTGGCGCTAGCTGTGTGACTTTGGGCAAGTTACAACCTCTCTTGAGTCTCAGCTTCCTCCCTACCATAATGATCCTATTACTTCTTCACGTTGTTTTTAGAAGCAAATGTAACCAATTAGGTTGAAGATTTGTACGCTCTAATTCACACTGTAACATGAATGCTTATTACAGTAATATTAATACACATAAAATTTTCTTTCCATTACGTGGGATCTACATCACAGGCAGATTATTCTGTGAAGATCTGTGAACGTTTTTTATTTCTTAAAATGCTCTGTAAGCTGAAAGGTATAGCTTTTATTTATATATTTGCTTGTTTATTTGTTAAATCTTCAGAAGTATGTGTTTGACTGGCAATCAGTCAGAGATTGTACTTTTGAGAGAGTTGATCTCTGATTTGACATCAGGTCCCCTATCTTCTTCTTTTTTTTTTTTTTAAAGATTTTATTTTTTCTTTTTTCTCCCCAAAGCCCCCTGGTACATAGTTGTATATTCTTCGTTGTGGGTCCTTCTAGTTGTGGCATGTGGGACGCCGCCTCAGCATGGTTTGATGAGCAGTGCCATGTCCATGCCCAGGATTTGGACCAACGAAACACTGGGCCGCCTGCAGCGGAGCGTGTGACCTTAACCACTTGGCCACGGGGCCAGCCCCAGGGTCCCCTATCTTCTAAAGTTAATGAAGGAATTGCCTGGCTTTAGAGATTGTTACTAGGATTGATGGATAGAATTTATGGGCAGGTAGATTTGGACTTGATTCTTAGAGAGAATTTTCTAACAGTTAGAGTTGATTGACTATGGAATGAACTGCTGATTTTAAAGGAGACCTTGATGAGCTTCATTTATGGTCACTATAAAAAAATGCAAATAATGCAGAAAAGCACCAAGAAGAAAGTAAAAGGAACTACAAATCTCAACACCTTGAGATTTAAAACCTTTAAACTTCCTTTTACACATCTCTCTTTTCTCATATACACATATGAATATGTATACAGTTTTACGTAAGTGAGATCATCCTATACATACTATTGTGTAACTTGATTTTGTATTAAAATACATGTAGAGTATTGGACATATTTCCATGCCAGTGAATATAGATCCATTGCTGTCATTTTTAATGAGTGTGTAATAGTCCATTGAATCCATACCCATTCGGTAGGAAAAATGATGCTTGTTTGAGAGAGATGACCAGGTTGTCTAGAAATCCCACTTAAATTCTGAGATTTGAGTATCTCTAATAGTAGTAGGGTAAGTAAGTTAGTCAGATTTTTTTGTGGTGCCTTTTCTCCCCACAGCGTTAGTGTAGGCACTGTTGTTTAAATGGCAGCTGCTGCCTTACCTTCCATATTAAGTTTAGACTAAGGAGGGTTTACCTGTCTTTTAACTTCTATGCAAACTGTCTTCCAATTGGGTGGCAAAATGGGAGAGTGGAGGCAGCCCCAGTTAACCCTACGGTCTGCATAGTGCTCAGGATGTGCAATTTGGAAGATTCTCTGTGTGGTAGAATATGTAAGTGACTCCTAGGTGGCTCACATGGATTAGCAAATGCATGAAATATTTATTATAAGACCTTTCTGCCCCACCGACCATCAGAAGTGCTTTTGGTCTCATTAGTATAGAAATGCTCTATGCAATTCTGCTTACTAATCAGCAAAGATTATCTCTAACATAGATAAGAATTAATAAAAATGTTGTTTGGTATACTACATTTTGGGAGATAGGTATTAGATTATGTATATTTTGGTTGCAAAATATCCTTGAATATTATCTTACTCTAGTGTCTCTGCCTCATCATGAGAATGTTTCGATTGTGTAGAAATAATCTATTTGTCCTTATCCTGACAGTCACATCCGTTGTTCTTCCTTTTAGTATGCCATACTCTTCCTGATTAATAAGTATTTGGAAATCCAGATGAAGTACACCACATACACAGACTGTATCTGCTATACATATTGAAGGCCAGATTAACCCCTGGTGTTTTCATGGCAGGTTTTTGAGATGGATATTTCTAAACAGTTACATGCTTACGAGGTGGAATATCACGTGCTGCAGGATGAGCTTCAGGAATCTTCCTATACCTGTGAGGATAGCGAGCCTATGGAGAAACTAGAGAGGGCCAATAACCAACTGAAGAGACAAAACATGGACCTCCTAGAAAAATTACAGGTAAAGAGATAAAGATTTGACCAAAGAAGTGCTTGCATGCCTCCTGCATACACAGAACTATCCCAGGAATGATAGAGCTGCGACATGGATTGAACTGTTGCTGACTATGGGCCTGTGTATCAGACTATCTCCACGTGCTCCAGAGACTACAAATGCACTTGTCCATTTAAATACCACTTGGGAGAGAAAATGTGCACTCACGAAATAGTTAAATGGCAATTCAAAGTGGAATCTAGTTGAATACGTATTGGGTGTCGTGCATATTTGGTTGAGTTCAAGGAACGAGTGGTTGAATATGGGAAATTGGGAAAACTGTGGGGATTTGGGGCTGAAGCCGGACGCTGAAGGGTTGATGGAGGAAAGGAGTGAGGAGTTGGGGGGTGGTATATATAAGGAGATGTGTTAGAGCAGCAGAGAGCGCTTGATGTCAGTTTAGGATGTATGTTGGGAAGAAGTGGGATAAATATGATGGATGCAGATGACTTTCAGTGTCAAGCAGAAGAGCATGGCTTTCACCCTGTTGAGAAGGAAGTCTCTCAAAATGTTTGAGCCATACTTCAGAAAGATCAATCCGGGAACCTTGATAAGGCCAGATTAGAAGGGGGCGGGAGAAGGTAGGGAGACCAGCTGGAAGTCATTTGCAGAAATCTGATTGGAGATGATGAGAATCGTCTAGAGTAAAACTCTCAGAAATGGAAAGAAAAGGAGGACATTTTTGAGAGAATTGATTGAAAACATGTAACACATAATCTCTGCCATCAAGGAATTTACAATTACTTGGGAATATAAAATACTATATATTTATTTATAAATGCACACTTACAAATGCAATAAGCAATTTAGTATAAACTAATATTCCACATCTGCAACTTGTATATTGTGTGCTGTGTATCCAAGCCCTGAGGGCAGGCTTAAGAGTGATCACGGAGGGGAGGTTAGAAGGTGAACTTTCTGGAGGGAGATGAGTTCTGATCCCTTACTACTTGGATGTTTCAATGGTGGTTAATTGAGCACTTCCTCGTTAGGGAAAGTGGGTTTGGACTTGCTTTATATTATAATGATTTTTATTAATGGCTACAAACTTTTTTGTTGAAAGTTCAATGTTGTCATCATGTCTGGGTTCCCAAGTTCTGTGGGAATCTCTGACACCCATAAAAACTGATAAGATTCCAAGGATGTGTTCAGAAAACCCTGCATTTCCAGTCAGAGGGCAAAACCCCTCTTTTTGCACCTCCAGGCGTGTCAGAAATCTCCTGTTTCTCCCTCAGCCGATCCCATTCACTCCAGGTGGACACCGGTGTGTGGAGTGAGGAACCCCCCGCCCCCTACTGTGGGAAGATGATTTAATATTGTGTTTTTGGTGTATTCAGTGAAATGAGATGTATTTTGTTAGTACCGAAATTTTATTTTTGAGAAACCTAAAAATCTCCATTTCAAGGAAAGTTTCAGAGTATTTGCTTCTCATAATATGTCATTAAGTAATATGATATGATTAGTTAATGTATGTAAGGCCTGGCTGTTGCTACAATGAAGAATCAGAGTCTTCAGATTTTTGATTTGAAGGATTTTGTTTCCCCCCCCCCCCCCAAAACAGATTGCTCATGCTAAAATCCAGACCTTGGAATCCAACATGGAAAATCTTTTGACCAGAGAGACCAAATTGAAGTCTTTAATCCGGACCCTGGAACAAGAGAAAATAGCTTATCAAAAGACAGTGGAGCAGATCCGGAAGCTGCTGCCAGCCGATGCCCTCGCCAATTGCGAATCGCTGCTCGGAGACCTAAACTGCAACCCTAACAACAAAGCAAAGACGGGAAACAAGCCATAACTGAAGAAGTGCCGTCTCAGCAGAAAGTGCTCTTAGAATGCTACGGAAGGGAAGAATCTGCATGCTGCTGGCCCAGCGCTGGACCCGGGAGCTGACGGAACCACCTGAGTCTGGTGCTGTGCCCTCGTCCTAGCTGTGGACCTTGCTTTTCTTAGCCTACGCCAGTCCTAAGCCATTGTACATACGTAGACTGGTTTTTGTTGTTGTTGACTATGTACATATATATAAGATGGACATAAAGGATTCATGCTTTGAAATACAAGGAGTCGATGTATATTTAGAGCAGTTTTTTAAATCAAAACTTCATGAAATCCACACCAAAGGGAAGTTAAAATGGAGTTCCCCTTGGACACACGTGAAATTATTTTGTCTTTGTAGTGAATCAGAGCTAGAGCATCTTTGTATATTGAAATATACTTGAAAAAAATGAATGTATTTTTTTCTCCAAAGAGCAGCATGTTTCACTCAATAGTGGGGAAGGGGAAACATTTGTGCAACTATGTGTATCTGTCTGAAAATCTACGGACATTGTATATATGAGGAAGACGACTAATTGCTAGTCACGCTCCTATGGGTTTTTCAGGAAAGTGGGGACGTTCCTCCCCTGCCTGCTTTGTGCCAACTAGCATGTTGTATCTACATGCATTTTGAGTCTGGATAGGTGTTACTTTAGACGTGCATAAGGAGAAAGCAAGACATTGTGGTGGAGTCTACCCACCCAGCTCGAGGGGAAAGAGAATGTTGCTAATTTGTAGCAAATTAGACCAGCATTGTTACTCAAACTAAAAATATTAGGTGTCAGAAATTTAATGTGAGACCTGAATAGTCTAGATCAACTTTTTACCTGTTAATCTAAATTACTCCTGCAGTTGTGAACAGACTTCCCTTGGGGTGCCAACAAAAAGTCCATGACATGGATTTGCCATTTTCCCACCAAAAGGTGGGCACTCTTACTTATTTCTCTCTACCTTTAATGAAAGATAAGGACATGCAATTGTGATTGGTTTTCTAAAGATGATATGCTGGGGTTTTTTGTTTTCATTTTTTGCCAATTGACAGAATCTAATAAACTCGTAATCATCTTCCCCTTCCATGTGAAAATTTATGAGATCTGTGAAATGTTTAAGAACAAACTGTTGAAATCCATCAGAAGGGAAGGAGAAAGTGGCACCAAGCCCTTCTACAACCTATCATTCTGAATTTGGACTCCCAATTTTCTCAACCTCCAGATAGCTTATTAGAAGACTTTCATGCGTGCTGGGTGTATGGAAGAAGAGTAACTTTCAAAGTACATTTGCAGTTCTCCATCTCACAGATGATCTTACAGTAGTGCCTCTGAAAGTTGATGCAGCATTTTTGCCTTTCCAGACAATATTTATCATCACTGCTTTTTGCAGTACTTATGTGATCACAGATGGGTTATCTGGGATAATTTTCTTCAAAGGGAGTTTGTTATACACAAGCTATAATGTATTATAGAGTAGAAGAGTATAGCTCTAATCTGCTCGATGAGCAGATGATAAGCATTGAAACCCCCTTCTACACCGTTACTCAGCGTAAATGTGATGACTTGTTACAAATCAGCATGCCCTCTAATCCAGACAGTTTCTTAAAAGAAAATAAAGTCTTATTAGTAAAGTTAATGTAATTTCTAAGTTCAAAAAAATGCTGATTCTAGATACCCCATTCACTTGGGGCCACCAACTGATTTGTTGCTTGGATTTCCCTAAAATTTCTCTATTTGTAGGCGAGGTTTTTCTTATGAAGAGTATGACAAATATCATCTGGTTACTGTCTGGTGATGAAAATTACCTTATGTGTGTGATACACAGGTGGTAGCCAAAGAATCTTCACGTTGGGAAAAGAAACTTTTCCTTTCAATTGTTCAGTTTAAAGTAAATTTTATTCTGGATGTTGAGTCAATGTTATGAGTTGTATTACAGTGTTCAGAGATTGAGGTGTCTTGGATACAATATTTCTTTTGAAAATGAATTTTCTTTTTCTTTTGTGATTTTTTAAAATGTTCCGCTAGTTATGCTTCATGCATTGTTACATCTTCATCCAATCAATGTAATGTCTAGTTCATTTACAGTAAATACATTGCTACAGTTTCCTTGGCTTATTGGTTTTACTATTGTTTGTAATAGGAGAGAAAAAGCCCTTGGTTAGAGTCCTTCACAAAATCTGCATAGGTTGGATGGTTGCTACTTAAAATTGGTTCACTGGTAATTCTTTTCAATAGAGTCAGAGACAACAAATATAATTTTTAGGAACATTTATGAAAGTACATTGTCAGTTACCAGTTTCTAACTTCTTTCCTAATGGATCCTTTTGCTGATGAATATAAAAAGAAAAAGACAACCACGCTGGCAGATTTGCATTCTACCCCTTTTGTTTTCTGTGCCGCTTCATAGATAACAAGGGAGAGAAAGAAGATAAGAAAATACAAAATTTTTAAATTGGGTTAGTTCCCAAAGAATTAAGGACACCTTGATGCATATGATATGAATGCGTTTACATAAAATATATATCTCAGAATATTCTCAAATTTGTTTGTAGTCCAGTAAAAGGATACGGTATCTTCTTGTTAACTTTAGGACTAAACTTTTAAACATTTTGCACTACATGTAGTAGTTAAGTATTTCGAATATCAGTGTAGGTTTAAGTAATGTGGTCTCTTAATATCCATGTTGACTTTCCCATTTTATCACCATTTCACCAATTTTTTTCACTCTGCTACATTAAGAGTAAGAAATCTGTCATCTGAAGTATAGATGTGTCAGTCTTATTAGCTGTGATATATTGAGAAAAGCACTGGATTCAGGGTGGGAACTTTTAGATCTGAATCTTGGTTCCACCACTTTTATTTATTCAGTCAACAAATAGTTTTTGTAAGCCAAGCTAGATGCTGAGTATTCAAAGGTGGAGAAGATAAAGTTCTTGTCCTTGATGAGCATGTGGTCTTGTGGCAAGGGGATAATTAGAAAACAGGAGACTTTATACTACAACAAGTATGCAAAGTGATGCAACAGGTGTTTCACTCAACCAGGACATGAGGGGCTAACAGCACTTGGAGTGGGTGTCAGAAGTGTTTGGAAGATATGATGGTTGACCTGAGTAGAAGTTGACTAGGTTGTGTTAGGCAATAGATGAATGAGAGAGGATGGTATATTTCTGAAATCATGTCATTCCTTTATCCTGAAGTATAGTTAGTGTTCCCATGGTGAGGGAAGGGGATGGGGTAGAGAAGTCTCCTGAAAAATGAGGACTCTATCATGAAGGTCTTAGTAGACCTTTGAAGGAGTTTGAACTCTACCTGGAAAGAAATGGGAGGCATTAAAGGCCAGTCACCTGGAGAGAGACACGATCAGATTTGCTTCAATCCATTTTATACATTGGGGCAGAAACACAGAATGGGAGACTGCAGTTAGGTGAATGTGATCAAGATCTAGGCCAAAAAAAGTAAAAGTCTGGTCTAGGGCAGTGGCCTTGGAGGAAAGTCAGCCTAGACTTCTCTCTCTCTGACATAGTTAGTCTCTGAAACCTGCTAATTTCACCTGCAAAATATTTGCCCATTTCCTCTCATCACTACTGCAGCCACCTTAGTTCATTTCCTTGCTCTGGTGGGTTAAACTGAGACCATTCCCCATTTCTTGGGGAAAACCCCTAAGTCACAGATATTGAGCTACTTGGTTTTTGTTTGCTGAGTGAGAAATGCAAGCAGAAGGTGGAGTTGAATGTCTCAGTCAAAGACAGAGGAAGGATCTAGGATTGGGAATCAACTGGAAGCAAAGGAAAAAAGCAGTAGAAGAGAGGTGGAGTGGGGATTTTTGGAGTGAAATGCTCGTTGCTCTTATAGCCTATTCTCTCTCTACCTACCCGTGACATTCAATATCATGTCAGTTTCTTGCTGTTCCACATTATGGAACCAGATATGCTTTGGCACAAGCCCTACTTCAAGGTGAGTGTGGCATGAGAGGGCATTCCAAAGGGAGCCTACCCAGATATGTGTTATCATCTCTTACCCGGACTGCTCCTCGCCTCAGGCAGAGGGACCTTCCTAAAACATAAATTTCAAGTTTACCCTCAGCTTAAAACTCTTCAAAGTCTCTTCTTTCCTCCCAGGATCATTCAACCTTTATTTAGTATGACACATTTGGCCTTTCATGAGCATGTCCCTGATAACCTGTCCAGCTTGGTGTCTTGCCTGTGGTCTCATTTGTCTTCTGCTCTAGTCAAATGGGTAAGCTCCATCTCGTTTCCTAAACCAGCCATCGTTTTGCTTAGCACAGGCTGCTCCATCTCCAGAGGGTCTGGGAGTGCTCCTTTCTTCCTGCGCCCCATCGGGCTCACTCCTTCAGGTCGCCCTTAGGTCTGGGACGACCTGACCACTGCGACTACAGCCCACGGAGTCCTGTCATAGCATTGCCATTGGGGGGTACTGCTGAACTTCACAGACACCTCAGGACTCCCACATGAGAGTGTGCTTTTTTTTTTTAAAAGATTGGCACCTGAGCCAACAACTGTTGCCAATCTTTTGTTTTTATTCTTCTCCCCAAAGCCCCCCAGCACACAGCTGTAGATTCTAATTGTGAGTGCCTCTGGTTGTGCTATGTGGGACGCTGCCTCAGCATGGCCTAATGAGCGGTACCACATCCGTGCCCAGGATCCGAACCGGGGAAACCCTGGGCCGCCAAAGCAGAGCACATGAACTCGACCACTCCGCCATGGGGGCGGCCCCAGGTTATGCATGTTTTTTTTAAAAAAAAGCTAACTTCATCATTACCCTGTTATAAAAAACATGTTAATGAACTTCAGGTAAATTGAGAGGCAGGTGTAATTTTATTTAGCATTTTATGTTTCTTGATGGCCTAGTATGGATCAGGTACATTATTAGATGTTGGGACCGCAAAAATGTCTCTCTTAACTTCTTTGAGTCAGTTCTTACCTGAAAAATTCACAGTTTTTATGAAAAAAATCAGAACGTATATAGTGACACT